GCACCAATAAAATTAAAAGTTCTGATTTAAAACCAAGATTACATTCAAATTTTATAATGCTAAACAATTAGTTTTTGATATATTATTTTATAAGGCAAGTAAGGTGAGTTAACTCACGGCCACATAATAGAATATGTTTTTTACGTTCAATGATTTATTTAAGGTATTTAGGTGAGTCAACAACCATTAAATAAAAAATCTTTATTTAAGATTATAATTAATAATTTAAATTGTTATAACGATCAAACAACTAATTTTTTGTACACTACTTTTGTTTTTAAATAAAAGAACTCTATAATAATCTCTTTTCTATATAATTTAGTTCAAAAGTAAAAAGTTATGATTTTAAGTTTATGATATGAAAATAATATGAATTATAAAATAAGCGAAAGTTGTTTTATATTGTTCCATCCAAAGTAAAAAATATAATAAAAAAATGCTATTTTTTGCATTCCAAATCTCAAATTAATATTTTTAAGTGTGAACCATACTTAAAACTCTTTCACCATTTTGAAAATAATTGAATTATAATGTCTATACATATTGTATAATACTAACAATATACCATGTAACATCATCAAATGAGTTATTAAGTTTTAAGTCTTATTTCACTAGACAAATGAAATGGTAAGTTGGTATGGTATGCATTGATTTGTTTAGGTTATATTTGATTTAATTATTTAGAAAGATTTAATCGATACTTAATATTTTGTACTTGTTTATAATTCAACACTCTTATTTATCTTATTATGAACCAACAGTTAATAATTATTTCAAACATTTTAATCAAACAGAAGCTTGAATTTAACTGCAGCACTGCAACTTTCAAAGGTTGCAATCCTTGAGCTACAAAAGTGGCAGACAATACGTCATTGAACTTTGTGAAAGCAACAAAAAGCCCTATTTAACTGTTGATGTTAATACATGCCCTTGAATTATCTTTCACATAATTTCTCTTTTTTATTGAGAGTTTTCATGATAAACCCTAATTTTTTTTGTTATTTTCTTGATTTATCTAATAAAAAAAATTTTTTTATCTTGATTCTACTTTAAGTCTTCAAAATCATGGACAAATTTTTGTGATTCCTCTTAATTAGAGTGATGATAAGGTATTAACCAAATACTAAATGCTTGATCAATTAACCTCTTTCTAGAGTGATAATAGCCCAAGTATTGTACGTTAAGATCATTAGCATTCTTGATTGTTTAAATTTGTACTTGCAACAATTTTTTTCAAATACACTCCTAATTTTCTTAAAAATTTAAACCATTATTTCTTTATTGGATTTCATACTTTCATTTGAATCATTTCTTCCCCTTCGTAAAAAAAAAAAAAAAAAAAAAAAAAAAAAAAAAAAAACAAGTCAAAGACTCAAATGTTAGGTGTCAAAATAGAGGGATCAAAACGTTAGCCTGTACAAAAAATTAAGGACTATCAACGAAAATAACATAAAAAAGAAAGAAAGAAAGCCCATGCCAAAAGAATAGGCCCAGACAAAAAATATGGCCCAAGCATACTCTTCTCCGGTTCTCCGGTTCTCCCTCTTCTTCCCCTCTGATTCTCACTTGTTGGGGTTTCCGTAAGCCGTTTTCCGACGTTTCATCCGTCCAGAGCTCGCTGCTCGGAGTCCGGTACGCCATTTGTCATCTACTTCTCTTCTTTCCCACCTTTCATTTTCGAATTAGGGAGGCTTAATCGCATGTGTTTACAGTGGAACTCTGAATTTTAAGAGGGAAAAATGAATACAGATGGAGAATAATATGGACGGGGAACGGGACGTGAAGAGGCAGAAAATTCTGGAGAAGTCAACTTCTCCGCCTCCCCCTCTTGGTTTTCAGAATCCGCTTTTACCTTTAGCTAATGCTTATGATGACGACGATGAGGATGAAGATTTTGAGAGGATGACACTGAGTGGTAGACGAGCAGGAGGAGGACAGAATGCGGCTCGGGTGGAACAAAATAGTGAGGATGATGAACATGCTGACGATGAGGATGACAGTGATGACCCATCGGGACAAGAATTACCTCAAGGGAAGCAGAATCGTCAGATTGAAGTACGAAGGGACTGCCCTTACCTTGATACCGTCAATCGTCAGGTATGCAGCTTCTCTTGAGCAGTAATGACATCGTGTAGACATTTATTTAGATAAAAAAAAACACATGGGTTTATCTATGGATGTGAGTTGCTTACATGGTTGTCAATCTATTGTTTGATTGTTTTATTTTTAAATCTTGTTTTAAGTGGTTATCTGTGTTTTGCAGGTGTTGGATTTTGATTTCGAGAAGTTTTGTTCAGTATCTTTGTCAAATTTGAACGTGTATGCATGTCTGGTTTGTGGGAAGTATTACCAGGGAAGAGGGAAGAAGTCACATGCATATACTCATAGTCTAGAAGCAGGACACCATGTTTACATTAATCTTCTGACTGAGAAAGTTTATTGTCTTCCTGATGGATATGAGATCAATGATCCATCATTGGATGACATTCGACATGTTTTGAACCCAAGGTTTACTCTTTTTTACGTAAATTGCTTTTGCTTGCATCACTCTTTATGTATCCATCCTTTACTAATCTGTGATTTTTCCTGACTATGCATGTATAACACATGTTTTTGTCGTGCCATGCCTTTATATTTTTAAGGTTGTGCCCTGTCTGTTCTTCAACATTCTGTAAATTATTGTTTTCTTTAGAGCTTCTAGTCAATCCTTAGATTCTTGGTTATTTATACGTTTTGTTGTTGGATTACTTTCAATCCCTTATAGTTAAGTTTTTCAATACTGTTTTTGCAGGTTTACCAGAGAACAAGTTGAACAGCTTGACAGAAACAAGCAATGGTCCAGAGCACTTGATGGTTCAGATTACCTTCCAGGAATGGTAGTCATTCTTCTCTTGTTATCATTGCAAGAGATTAAAATGTTTAGAAGTTAATTTTTCCCCTCAATTGATTTTAATTTGATGTGATAATCTCTGCATCTCTATAGGTGGGGCTGAACAACATTCAATTGACTGATTTTGTTAATGTTACCATTCAATCTTTAATGAGAGTTACTCCCTTGAGGAACTTTTTCCTCATTCCTGAAAACTACCAGCACCGTAAATCTTCACTCGTCCATCGATTTGGAGAACTCACTAGGAAGATCTGGCATGCTAGAAACTTTAAAGGACAGGTTTGAACCTGCTTTCTATTGCCATGAAGTTATGGTTTTTTGGAGACTTACATATTTTTTCCATCTATTTTCACATGAACAGGTGAGCCCTCATGAGTTCCTGCAGGCAGTTATGAAAGCTAGTAAAAAACGGTTTCGGATAGGCATGCAGTCTGAGCCAGTTGAATTTTTGTCATGGCTTCTTAATACACTGCATAATGATCTTAAAACCAGAAAGGGTGGTAGCATCATACACAAGTGCTTCCAGGTTATAATCATGCCTTTGTATAAATTATCTCTAATTAGGCTGCCTGCCCAAGTAGATTGTTTGTGTTTTTTTAAATATTTTTTCTTTGATAGGGGGAACTAGAGGTTGTGAAAGAGAGTCATAACAGAGCTCGTGGTGATGACCAGAATGGTGCTCCAAATTCAACAGAGAGTAGAACTGAGAATAATGTTGTCACAGAGGCGTACAGAATGCCATTTTTAATGCTTGGGCTGGATTTGCCAGAACCACCTCTTTTTAAAGATGTGATGGAGAAGAACATAATACCACAGGTATTATGTGTGCTTTGTGTTTCATTCTTTTCTGGGTGTGTTTGTTCACCAACTTCCCACTGTTTAGCCATGTTAGAAGATCCACATCCAAGTTGCATGCTTTATTATGTAACCTTGCCTTTTATGCAGTTCTTTTATTGCCGCCCTTTTGACAGAGAATGACCTCAGCCTTTTGAATCATTTGAAATTTTATGAAATGGTACACAAATCCCAAAATGCATTGTTGAATATTTAAAAAGATTAGTGTAATATCCAATTGCAAAGGAGAAGATTTCTATAGACTTTTATGCATTCCATGATGGTAATTCAAAGTCTTAGGCTTACTTATGATTTTGTTTTAGGTTCCTTTGTTCAATATACTAAAGAAGTTTGATGGTGAGACTATAACAACCACAGTTCGCCCTCCAGCAAGGATGAGATATCGTGTTACCACATTGCCACCCTACTTGATACTCCATATGCGCCGCTTCACCAGGAACAACTTCTTCAGAGAAAAGAACCCAACATTAGGTGAGTTTATATTCTTGGGAATATCTGATTTTTGTTTCATTATTCTCTGTTCCTCCAGATTATGATATCACATGGGAAGGCACTTAATGCTAACTAATATTATCCTTACAGTCAACTTTCCTGTGAAAAACCTAGAATTGAAGGATTATATACCTCTGCCAGCACCAAACAAAGAGAATGAGAAACTGCGCTCAAAGTATGATCTGATAGCTAATATTGTCCATGATGGTAAACCTGATGAGGGGTTTTACAGGGCCTTTGTGCAGCGGAAATCAGAAGAACTATGGTAGTAGCCTAACTAATTATCATACTTTTCAGATTATGTGAATGAATATGCAACTAATATCTGGACACATGTTTCCTAAATTCATGGTTGCAGGTATGAGATTCAGGATTTGCATGTTTCTGAAACCCTTCCTCAGATGGTTGCTCTTTCTGAAGCTTATATGCAGATCTATGAGCAGCAACAGTAGCATTTCTAGCATGTCAAGAGTTCGCCAATGTTGATGGCAAGATGCTTAATTCTCTCTAGGCTATAGCATGCTTTATCAAACAGTAGAAGCAATGTAAGGGAAACAAGAAGAGATGTTGATGCTTTTGAAATGGAAGATTTATTGGGTTGGTTTTCTGCTACATTTTGGGAAGAACAGAAATCAGGACAATAACACCCTCAAGGGGGTAGCCACGCAGGATATTAACTATGTCCGTTCTTTTGTAAAATATCCAACATTTCTTGCCTTGTATAGAAACAGATATGAACATTCCTATTGGCATGTATTCTGTTTCCCATATTTAGTGTTACTGCCCCTTGTAGCCATAAAATAAAAGTTATAGTTTAAGCAGAATTTTGATTTATCAAAGTACATCTTTTCTCTTTCATTTCTTTCTTCTTTCGACATGATGCCAGATTTTGAAAAAACGCCGAATACATCTTCAAACAATCTCTACATATGTTGCTGTGCAGGCCACCACGAACTCAATCACTGCAGAAGCTGCCTAGTCAGAAATCATGGTTTTTCACTTGTCCTTGGAGATGTCAGAGGAAACAAAGTAAGCAATTCTGGTTCTGTATATCCTGGTCTTGACCGCGGTGAAGGATGCAGATAAAACCGTCCTTCTTTAACAGCTTTCTCTTCTTCTTCCGCATTCAATTCACAGATGGCTGTTTCTTCTCTGTTTTCATCTTCCAGAAGTGTCAACTTTGAGAAGATTGCCGATGGCATGCCCACTGGACTTGGGAGGCTGGATCTTGGTGATGGTGATCTCATAGGTTTGAAGCTCAGAGGAGGTTTTACTATCTCCAACTTTGGCCTCATGCACTGTCTTCTTTCATGGAGCTTCGACTTCTTTGAGGTTGGAATATTCACAGCTGCTGCTACCCCGGCCGTTGTATCACTCTCTGACGGCCCTGTTAACCTTTGAACAATTTCTCGAAAGGTGTTTGTGTCTGTCTGCACAAATGTTGTCAAGGGTTTACAATTCTCCATTAATGAGATTGGCGTGAGAGCTATCTTTGTTTGAGATATTGTTTGCTTTAACTTGCAAATCTAAGAGATTTGTCCTTCAAAGCAGGAAGAGACTTTCTGAACTCCACTCAATGTGGAATCTAGAAGCCTCTTCTTTACAATCTTATTTATCTCATTGAACAAAGATGTGATTGCTGTTTGATTTTCGGCAGTCACCTGCAAAAAGGTTCAAATCCGCAATATATGAGTTATTTCTTTGTAGACAAGAAAAATCTTTGTGATCATAGAAATTTTGAGTTTAGGTTTATTAGTTAAACAATTGGAATTCATAGTTTGATTAGTATAGTTGTTTTGGGTTTATTAATGACTTTATTAACCTAACTTAATGTTAAAAAATGAAATAAAATCAACTTGATATTATACATAACTTAAGTAATTCAGTAGTAATATCTTTCTATTGGAAATAAGAAATTCTAAATTTAAGTTGCACAGCATGCAACTGAAATGAGGTAAGAAATGGAAGAGAGTTATCTCTTACTATAAAAAAAAAAAAAATGATACTACCATAATAGGATTTGTTGTATTTAGATAGATTTTGTTGTAAATTCTAACTTTTAAGATATAAAGCCAATGTAATTGGCATTAAAATTGCTTGAATACAATAAATCTTATTGTTGAAACGCATTTAAACACCCATTGAAGATGTCATAATCCTCGAAAGGCAGAGTTCAAATGAAATTGCAATGGAAACTTGTACCATTGGGGCAATGCCTTTGCCTAACTGAACATTCTATAAATACTAAACATGATGTATAGTGTTTTGGAAAGATGGTGTCAATTTAGGCCATTCAATGCAGTCATGCAGATGACCCCTCATCTTTCCCAGTTTGCCTACTCCAAAGAAGCATGAAATGGAAATATGAGGTGGAGGGAGTTAGGCCTTTGGACCCAATCAGTTAAAAAAGGCCATCTAAAGAAATATTTGGCAGAAAAGTACTTCCATTTCGTACGGGTCTCTCCCTTTGCCCATACTAGAGGCAATGCCAACCTCCTATTGAATTCATTCACCTAAATTCTGGCCTAAAATATTCAAAGATTGAAAAATAAATTTCTTATTTTAGAGTCTAGACAAATAAGTATAATGAGATAGAAGGACGGTTCCCAAGTAGCTTTCCCATCCAACGTTAAGGAATAAAAATACACTTTTTCCTTGACAAATTTAACACCATTTTTTATTGGGCTTAGACCCAAATTCTGTTGCAATTTGTGTGCTGAAATTGTAACTGTGAAAACAAAGCTTTATTTTCTTCTACCCTGAAAGAAAAAAAAAAAATGGGGGAAAAACGTTTCAAGACCCCAAAAGCGTCCTTCCACATCCTCTTATTGAACTTTTATGAGAGAAAAAAGAAAATAATAACACTAATAATAATAATAATAATAATAATAATAATAATAATAACACTAATAATAATAATAATAATAATAAAAGCAGATTCAGATTATGAGAAAAAAATGAGAAGTAATTATAAATCAGAAAAAAAAAAAAAAAACTTTTTTCCTTTAAATTTGGTATTATAATTAATAGCAAGCATTGCCCTGATTATCCAGAATGAAAGCAGAAAGCCCTCCCATAAAGGGAAAAGAAGACATTCTTTGTAATGCAAAGGCAATGAAGATAAAGAAAAAGAATGAGGGAGGATTTAAGGATGTACCTCAGTCGAGAAGAAAAGAATGCAGCTCTTACATTCGGTAGAGAATTTGAAGAGAATGAAGAAAGAAATGAACAAGGAGGAGGATGAGAAAGGGAGGTTATACATGTTATGTTACAAAAAAAATATGAAGGTAAAGGTTTCCTTGGCAAGACCAGGAAAGGAACGGAAGGCAGTTAGGACAACCAAAAGGCAACCTCAAAAATAAAAGGGCATTGTCCTTGAAACCGTTGGTTTCACTCTTGCCACATCATTTCTATTTTGGACTGTTGTTCTGAGAAAAAGAGCAAAACATAACTGTACAGAGATGACTTTGCCTATCATCAACGATCTGGTCATAGCAGTAAAATTATTTGTGCTCTAATCATAAATTTAGAATTTGATCTTTAGTTTTTATTTACTAAAAAAAAATAAAAATAAAATAAAATAATAGTTTCTCGTATGAAGCATTATTTTGTAAACTTTTTACAGTTAAGTTTCTAAATGCAATAATTTTTATTAATTTTACACTTTTTAATTAATTTATTCTATATAAATTCAAAATTTTGGCACTTTGGTACATTCATGCAAATAGAAATTTTATAAAAACTTCATTTAGACTAACAAACTTGAAGCTATGTTGTAGCTGAATGATAGCCAAAGATAGGTGAGAAATGCGTTTGGTTAAGATGGGTTTTTTTCATGTGTTGGGAAGGGGGGGGGTTAAATTTAATCAAGTTGAGCTTTAGGAGCCGTTGATAGTTGGGACATTACTTATAAGGACAATAATGAAACGAGATAATTTTAAACCAAATCTATTCCAAATAATTGAGTAACTTAATTTGAGTTAGCTAGGTCTTAGTTTCCTTCTCAGTCATCTTTAGCCGAAAAATCTGGTCCACCTTCACTATCATGTTGTTAAAAGGTCAAAGTTGGAGGTTGCACATAGAAAAATATAAGAAAAGGGCACTACAAATTGATTGACATTGAAGAGAGGTTTTTTTTTTTTTTTTTAAATTGTATGGTTAGTAGCTTTTAGCCAACCTACGCGCTTTGAGAGATTTAATTTCTAATGATTTGAAATGTGCATTTTATATGATATGACACATTTATAAAAATTAAAAGTTTTAAATATTAATGATTTTAAAATTTAAATTTTAACTTTTTATAGTGTTTCATATCTCATATTAAGATAGAAGTGTAAATGTAATTGGCATATAAATATAAAAACAAACCACCACTAATAATTTCAATTAAATTTTTTCAAAATTTATAAACCTTAATCCAAAAATTATTATTAACTAAATAATAGACAAATTTCAATTTAAATTATTTCACCCTAACTTATAACATTTATTTATCAAAATTAGATTTCATTTGTTTCTTTCTAATATCTAAGCTACTAATTAACCAAATGGAACAAAGTACCAATCGACCAACCACTACATTCTCTCTTCTCCCCCAAATTCAAAATCATAGGGTTACATGTCTCTTTCAATTCCATCAAAACTCAAATAATTCAATCATACCCCCTATATATCATTTCATTTTTCGCCGGCACCCAGCGCCAGTTGCTGATTATTGCCCTCTACTCATTAAAATTCTTGACTTAAATGATCTTTTCCCTTTCCACACGTATCCGAATAACAACATTGTTTTCATCACAAACTCTAGCACTCCTTGTTCTTGCAAGAAACTTCTGAGCAAAATATTACCATGATCTCTGAAGATTTCAGCTTCCCCAAGATTGCAAAACCTATTCCTCAACAGTTCATGTTTTCACCATCTTTGTGGCGTGTATCATCCATAATTTATCCGGATAATGCTGTAGATGAAGAATTAGGGGATAAAAGAGAAGTAGAATTTCCAAGAAAGAGCTTCTCGGAGAAAGACATTGAGGAGAAAATGGACATGTTGTGGGAGGATTTTAATGAAGAACTAAAAAGGGCTTCTTCCTTGGGCAGCAACAAAGGGATGAAAAGGTTGTCCGGTAGCCGGGAAAAGGGCTCGGAATCTAGTAGAGAGTCGACGGAGGAGCTTTACTGTCCGCAGGGTTTGAGGGTGTGCAAAGTTGGTTCTGAAAGTACAACCGGCGGACCTGTATGCCACAGAAGAGTTGGCAACAATGGCATGGTGGTGATGAAGGTTTTGAGGAAGTTCTTTCTGCTACATAGCTTGGTCCGGATCAAGAAGAAGTAGATGTGGTAGTGATCCTATTATATTTGATTCATGCTATTTATTTTCAAGCATGAGTATGTGATTTTTAGGTGAAATTAATGAATGACTTCTTAGTGAAGGATAATTACATAGGTAAATATTATTTTAATTTTGAAGTAATTTTTTTTATACATCTTAGGTTGGGTTTCAAAATTAGTGCTATTTAATATTTTTCCTGTTAATATTGGGATTAAAGATTTCTAACTTGAATAGGTTTAATTCAAAGAAAATGAAAAATAAAGGAGTGATGAACTTTTTTAATCTCATTTATTATAATTTGATTTGATTTTTTTTTTTAAACTAAGTACAAATTTGAGGAAGAGGGATTTGAATTCAGTACCTAAATTTGAGATATACAGTTTTTGCAAAGACTTATAACAAATTAGTCATTTTGGACGCACCTGACCTTCTTGACTTAGTATTTTGTCACTTCAATAGGTGCACCCTGCAACCTCTTAAAACATGTTCAATCCCTCTCACCCCCAATTTGTAATATGTTCAAAAAAAAAAAAAAA